AATACAAAATTCCTTACATTTGGCACTCTAATGTTTTAACAAAAGCAGAAAAAGTTGGATTTCCCCCACTTTTCCACACTTTCCTTTTCTTTCATCCTAACCAACTCATCCCATGGGGGTTTATGTCATATTGGAAATACATTGTTGTTGTTGCTATATGATAGTATGGAATCCAAACTAAAAGGTGGAGTCTGTTAGAGGTTTTTTTCTCACAGGAGAGCATTTCACTCTTCCTTAATTATAGAAGTTATTGAATTTGTTATTAGCAACTTCTGTTTAATATTAGGGTGAACTTGGTTTCAATTTGAATACCAGCAAACACGGTCGTTTTTGGGTGGACTTGTTTCCATTTGATGATGCAGCATGCAATCCAATATCCATTGGAGGTATGGATGTATGCATAATTAAGTGGTTACACTCTGGATTATTCAGCAGAGACATGACACCACTAAAATGCATTCTATTTTTTTTGGGGGGGGGGGGTGGGGTCATCTTTATTATAATACTTAATTTTGATGATTTTGGACCTTCTTTGCTTTTGTGGTTTGAGGTCTTAAATTTCTCTAGGGATTTCCTACCTTGGTTTTGTTTGGAGATTGTATTTAAATGGGCTATTTAGGCGTCTATTGTGGTGTTGATGAGATCGTATAGGTTTGTTTGTTTTTTTGTTTGTTTATTTTTATTTTTCTTCCCCTTTTGTTATGGATTATGAAGGTTTGGGACTTGGAGGAGGCATATAATGTCTCATTCTGAAGGCTGAACTCACCGCAGTGCCCACGTGATTGCTTTGCACCTCTGAGTTTTCTGGTAGTTATACGCCAAAAATGTGGGCTAGGTATTGGATAAACCATATAGCGACAATAGACAAACTAAGAAAGTTTCAGAATGCAATTCTCTGTGGTCGCCTTTATGTTTTATCATGAAAGTTGCCATGTTATATAGATTGTGAAATGTGGATTACCCACATTACTAATCAGTGTTTTTATGGTGAACCTGGGCTACGTGATGACAGCTTGGTTTGAGGAGCATCTTAGGCTTAAAAGATTTTGCTATCTTTTCTTTTCTTTCTTTGTAAAACTAATAGTGATAGTCTTCTAGATATGATGATGATTTTCATAAGAAGAGGAAGGAGCATGAAGATGAATCCAGATTGGATTCGAAAGCACAGAATCATCCAATCCAATCTGTAACTTACAAGTTAGAGTTAAAAGCTTTGGCTATATTAGCAATCGGGTAGAATTGTATCTTCCTGAAGGCAGTCTCACGTAAAAGGGGAACAGAAAGTACAAAGGGAAAAAAAGCAGAAGAAAATAATGTGGATTATCTTGAATATTGACAAAATAAACCAACGAAGTAGTCCACTATAGAAGCTTAATAAGAGAGGTAATCTCATGCTGCTGGGCCTATTTGTTTGGTGCCCTGTGCAATGATTTAGTGACAGCTCTAACACCTGTTGACAATTAATGAGGATGAATTTTGAAGTACGTCGAATTTTTGGACCTATAATTTTGGAAAAAATTTTGTCATGATGATGGTATGAATTATTTCCAATTATTCTAAGGCTTCTTGAAGGGTGATAAAATCTTGTGTGTCAAGGTGAAGTGATCATTTTTCCAATTAGTTTGAAAGCTGGGGTCTTTACTTCACATGAAATGCCCTAATGGATTTCGAAGGGTTTGTAGCTAATAATGTATATAATTTACTTTCTTCTTTGCAACCAAGTTGTGGTCTCTTAGCTGCGATATTAATTGATTGGATATTTCGTTTTACACTTGAATGAGTATAAATTGACGGCTAGTCTTAATGATTCCCTGTATGATTACTTGTGAAGTTTATATGCACCATAATTCAAATCTAATATGTATTATTGATGTGCTCATGAACATATTGATTAATTTTCATTAATTTAGCAGATATGGAAGAACAGTGTCATGGATTAAGCATTCAAAGTTTTACTTCTGTCTGACAGTGAACTTTCGTAGATTTGGATTAAATGTCATGGGCTATGGCTTATTCTGGGGTTTTAACTCCTTGCTTAATGTGTTTGTCTTTCAAACCAGTGTTACTGCTAAGCCCAAGCCTCTTTGTTGCGACCTTGTTTTATTAGATGTGGAATTATCAGAGATACATGGTTCTGTGCTTCCCCTCCCCTCTTGTGTGAAGATGAATACGAATCATTTGGCTGCAACTTATAAATTGACTTATTTTTTCATTTATTTTTCTCTTCAGTGAACTGTTTACAACTTTGAGTAAAATTATACTTTTTAGATTTGTCTAGACTAGCTATCTACAAAATAAAACAAATTTGGAAATATTTTTAAAAAAGTATACTAAAGACGGCCAACTTCTGTAGGCTTTTTCGACAAATTTTGGTTTATCTCATTATTAGTAGATTTTTTCAAATTTTTTAATATTTTTTAATTTTCAAAAGAATTTTGAATATGACGGTGTTTTAGTTATTTAGACCCTTTGCTTAGCTTGATTGGATTCAAAACTTATCTTAATCTTTCTCTTGCTAACGTTTACGTTTTGTTTTACTGAATCATATTATTGTTTTCGCTTTATATAACTATGCTATGCTTAATCAACTCAGGTTCTCAATATGATCGTTGAAGACTTGTTCCAAGGGCATCCGATCAGCCAACGAAAGCTCAAGGAACTTCTTGGCCACACTCCGTCCCAGGTCTTTGCTGGAGCTATGCTTGGCATTGTTGTTGCTTGTATCTGTTGTCAGGGTTGCTTCGTTGCAATCTGATCTGCTGCTTCTTCTGCAGATAATTTTGTTGAAACTGTGAATAATTCATGACACTCTCATATTTAAAGTGCCTTGGTGTTGTATCAATGAGTTGCATTTTATTCTTTGATATCCAAAAATGCTGGAATGTTGAATTAAAATAGAATGGTCTTCTTCTATGAAGTTGCAAGTTTTGGTGATTTTCAATGAGTATGTGACTTAGGATGGACAAGTTTTGGTGATTTTCAATGAATATGTGACTGAGGATGGCAATTTGTCTGGCCAAACGTTCGATGAACATAAGCCTATATGAATATCACTTAAGTTTGGCTTCTTTGTCAACCAAAACCAAGGGTAATGCTCAATGATGCAGTATTATCCAAGATGATGCAAATGGCAAGCGAACCCACACTGGCTCAGAATTTCAGAACTAGCTCAAGCCTAGGATAGAAAGCCATTCTCTGTGTATGTGTGCACACGTGCAATGGTGGTGCCTTTGTTTTTCAAATTTTATTATTTTTCATATTTGTAGCCGTTACTTTGCTGGATTTGGGCGGCTGCTGTGCGGGGTGCACAACAGCCACTGTTGTACAGTCAAATGGGCTTATTTCGGGATCCATTTCGATGATTCGAATCGTTTACATTTTAGAATACATCAAGTAGAATATATTGAGTATTTTATTGAGAATCTATTGAGAATTTACTGAGAATTCAGCCATAAGAGCTCTATCATGTACATCCACATATGTGGGCAGCTTTAAGACAATCACCCGATCAAGCTAATCGGATATTGTTTACTCATTCATTCACTCGCATTTGTATCTACACAAATAAATAACAATTGTAATTTAAAGTATTAAAATGAATACAAATGTGAGTGGATGAAATGGTAAATGATATCCGACTAATTTGATTTTTTGCAGGTATGTTTTCCTTGATATATTTTAAAATGTGAATGGTTTAGATTATTGAAATGAGCTTATTTGGCTGCACAACCGTGACTGTTGTGCGGGCCCCAAATCTAGGAAACCCTTTAGCAAATCCCAAATAACCTGTTTGAGAATGCTTATTCCTTTATCTTTTTCTTCATTTTCCCCCTCTGGTAAGTAACGTTATGTTTGGTTGGAAGATTTGGTGAGGAATTTAGAAAGGGAAAGGGAAAGGGAAAGGGAAATAGTGTGTGAAATAATGTGAAATGTATGTATATTTTATTCACATTTCACCTATTTTTTTTTATTTTATTTTTTTCAAATCCCTCAACCAAACAAAGTATAGAGGTAATCAATAAGGATGTGTTTAATCTATGAATTTGGGAAGAGATTCGAAAAAGAAAATAGAAAAGGTATGTGAAACGTAATTATATTTTACACATTTTACCAATTTTTTCCCATTCTTTTTTCTAATTCATGAACCAAACACAGTATATGCGGTGCCAACCATGATAGCAATCCATGCATATGCAAAGTATATAGGGGCTAACAAAACATATGCTCCTACAAAATCTGAATCTCCTCTAAGATCAACAAAAGAGAGGATCAGAAAACTTACCTAGCCTAAATAATTGGAAGACTCCAACATAATCTCCTTCAGAAATAAGTCAGTCATGTCACCTCATCAAGCATACCATCCTATTGCTCCACTTAAGCCAAAGAGGCACAGCAAACTAAACTTGCTGGCACTTTTGGTCTCGCACATCCTTGGTGTAACACCCAGGTAACTCATTAGTCAAGCATCAAAGACTGTGTAATCTTCAAGAGTTCTTACAAAAAAAAAAAAAATTCAACTACTCGCCTTTGTTAAAGTTTTGCTGAAAAACCTGATGAAGGCTTCTTTTTGCAACAATGACATCAATTGTCATGCTTTTTATTCCATTGTTAGGTGAATGAACTGCACTCTTAAGCTTAGAAACTAGCATGTAAGTCTATAAGTAAATGGTACACACAAAACCACTGCAAAAGTAGCCCATAATTTCACAATTTTATTGAAAATAGATCATAAAAAATTAACGGGCATGAAAAAGATCAACTTAGAAGCAAAAAAAAAATCCACAATAGTAGGATTATGAAGAGCCCTTATTGTCAATTCTCAAACATTCTAAAATCAAGCTCTTTTTTTGTCACAAACTCCGATCAGACTTGAAGTGAATTTTCAAGGGGGTACAATCTTTGACACCCATGGGTCTGAATAATTTCTCCTCTGTTTTTTCTTCTTCTTCTTCTTCATCTGTGCCAGCATTGGTGCCCTTTTGGTAGAAAGGTTGGGTTGACAAAGACTGAACATATTTCAGTAATCACAAAACAAATTATTTATTTTATTAATAAATCATTTAATTAATTAATATTTTTTAATAATATCATAAATATATTTAATTCAAATTTAAATATTTTTATTATTATAGTAGAAGAATAGATAGAAATTTTATTTTTTTTTACTTTTTAATTATGTTAAATAAAAAGTTATGACGAGAGGAATGTTAATTGCTAAATGGTTATTGGTTTGTAACTCTTGCCTATTAATTTTAGTTTAATGTATTTTGGAGTTATAGAGTTTTATGAATTGTGTACATGATAAATTTGAATGGGTGGCTTCTCTCTAGTTGAATTATTTAATTGGACAGTGCTGTTGGGCTACCGTAAGCTCTTTGCGGAGCTTCCTTTGATGATCTAAATTATTCAATTTGTAATGTCTTTCAAAAAGATCATCCATAAAAAAAAATTACATTGATCGAATAACTGCAACTACATAATCAAATCTACTCTAAAAATTATATTTGTTGATTACTACTTGGCCTTGCAGTTTTGGAATTTTACATATTTATCCATTAAAGCTTTACAATTTGAGATGTTAATGAATTAGTTATGTTGGTGCATTTTGAATATTTTAATATTAAAAAATTATATTTTGTAAATATAATATTATAATTAAATTATTTTGATTTAGATAATTATAGAAAGAAAACAAGGTTGTAGTTTTCATGTGAAGACAAAAGGAAACAAGGAGAAGGATGGAGAAGACATGAGATATTTGTACATATTAAGAAAATAAGCTTCTAGAGGAATGGAAAGTTCTAGAATTGCTTGGTTGCTTCTCCTCTTTACCGACTTGGTAAAGTCCGTTTCTCCTCCTATATATTAGTCTGCACCGATTCCTTTCTGAGAAAATATGGAGTGTAGAGTGTGTGCTCTCCCCTTATGATTTTATATTTATTATTATTTTGTATTGGGTTTTGTATAGTTTTTCAAGTAATTTGTAAGAGTATTTTTATGGTGGAGTTTTGAGTTTTACCTCTCATATAGAGATGGTTTAACCAATATGATGTATAGTCGGCTATTGTATTTTGAGAAAACAAATTAGAGATGTTGTTGCACTGAATAATTTAAATCTCCTTAAATCTAGCGAGATTACCGTGTCATAATTCATTTTGCAAAAATCCTTTATTTTGTCACATAATTTAATATAGTGGACAAATGGGTAATATTTGTGATGTCTCGTGTGATATTTTCTACCTCAATATTTTATTTTTGCCCTTGATTTATTTTCTTTTAATAAATATCCCTAACAAGTAATATAGTTGCTAAGGTTATATTAACAAGATCGGTTTTAGCATTATACGCAAACAAGATATCCTTGAACTTTCCTCCCAAGAGCTCTTAGATTGCTGCAGGGAAGAAAAAAAACGCTAAGTTACATCTTCTCTGAAAAAGGTTTTTAGTTACATCCAAACAAATGGAATTAGAATGGAAAGCGAAATGTTGTTGCAGACCTAAGAATGAATCGGAGGTAATATATTTTATATTTTAATATATATATATATATTATATGAATTTAACACTTACTTTAATTTTTATTTTTAGAAATCAGGTTCAATTCGCATTAATGAGCTTTTTACCATAGATCATATGAATGAAACACAAATTCGCAAGCCACTGAAGCAACAGTCGGTAGCTAGAGGAGTACTACTCAAGAATTCAGTGAACTCACCTCACTCATGGAGTTTAAATTTACTAATTTTTATTGTATAATATCATCAAATACAATTTACAAATTATTTCTCACTGTTCTTTCTTTTGTTATTGTGTACAGGAAAAACTATCTGAGATACGAGAACATGAAAAATTATCTGAGAAGCGAGAAAGGGAAGAGTTGAAGCATGTCTCCTCATTGTAGGATTTGGCTACGACGAGAAATATGAGAAAAGTCAGTGAGTTTATGGATAATAAAGAATTTATAGTGATTTTCTGATTTGGACCCAAACCCATCTTGTATTTGGACTTGGGTTTCATGATTCTGTATTGTTGTTCTTGTCTTTTCCCCTTATTCTTCATTGAGTTTGAGTATGGGAGTGTCCTCGGTTGTATTTGCAACAGGTTGGTTGCTTAGTTTAAAAACTCTTGTTGTCCAGAATTGCTTCTTCGCTCAAGTGGCACTTAGCAGGCTTTGTGAACTCTCAATACTTTTGCCAGGTTGCAAAATTACTGGGAGGGTGTATTCTACGCTCACATGGTTCTTCCAGCGCTCGAGCGGGCTCAGCTCGAGCAGCCTTTCTTGCGCTCGAGCGTTGATTTTGTCGTCTGTAAAACTATTGGGAGTGCGTATTTTGTGCTCGAGCGTCACTTTCTGCGCTCGAGTGGAAAAGTTATTGTGTCTAACGCTCGAGTGGACTGTGCGTATATCAATTCGCAACAACTACTTTTTACATCATTTTTTCATCTGTTTCTCTCTTAAAACATTTCAAAACCCTAGATCTTGAGTGTCTCTCTCTAGAACTCACATTCTCTCTACATTTCACCCAGATTCATTAGGTTTCTCTAACATGGTGCCCTTTGTTAAAAAGTAATGCGTCTCAAAAGCTCCATTTTGATCCGATCGAAACTGTTCGGCGTTGCTGAACTCTCTCCACTCTTCCTTTGGTCTTGCTAAACTTGAGTAGGGATTTTCTATACTCCTATATGACTTTTAACTCAGTTATTTGTTTTGTATAAATATTATTGTGATTTTTGGAGAATTTTAAACAAACCTTGGGTTTTGTTTAAAATCAAAAGAGGGGTTTACAAGTGGATGTATGAAAATGGTTATGGGAATGAATATGAGGTTGTGGTGTAACAAAGTGTTGATTTTTATACTTGGTTGTATTTCGGAAGAAAATGAAGTTTGCCCCAAAATGTCTCAAATATTTATTTGTATAAATAAATAAAATTAGTATTGAAAAT